AAGGGAAGGGAAGGGAAGGGAAGGGAAGGGAGACTCCTTGAACCATAACTGTTCTAGCAGAACATCAAAATAAGGGTGGGTATTTAGGTACCAGCTTTGGAAGAGAGGGTTGGGGGTTATCTGGTAGGGCAGAGGTGCCAAAAGTATAGCCCACACATAGCCCACATGATCATCCTTTATGGGCCCTAGAGCCTCCCAGAATGATCCCAAATTGAGTGTTTCTATTTTGGGAGAGGGTTACAGGATTTTTAGAGGGATTGGGTGGCTTGTTCAGGTAGCTGTCTTGATGGCAATACATAAAAGGTTTGCCACGGCCTTTTTCTGGTCTGTTACTTTTACTTCTTAGTCTAGCCTGGGAATTTCTGGGTGGTCTCCCATCCAAGGGCTTCCCCATCTAAGAACTAACCAAGTCCAACTGAGAATCAGCCTAGATTGGCTAGGCACTGCTGTGGGTTATTCTTAAAATGGGGTGTGTCCTGCCCATGTTTGGCATGTGGCCCTCAACCACCACCCCTGGATCAGGGAGTGAAAATGCTGCTATCTGGCCAGGGCTCAGCTGTACAATCCATCAAGGAGGGCAAACGAAGGCAGAGCTGCTGAGAGTCACGATTCCATCCCTTTTCAGGGTCCTGGTCTTTACTACATTGATCATAGAGGAGTACGGCTGAGTGGCCCCCTTTTTTCCACGGGAAGCGGAAACTCATACGCCTACGGAGTCCTGGACAGTGGCCACCGGCCTGACCTCAGTGTGGAGGAGGCCTATGACCTTGGCCGAAGGGCCATCTCCTACGCCACCCACCGTGACAGCTACTCAGGAGGAGTGGTAAACAGTACGTTTTCCCAAGCAGCCCCCTTGGTTCTTTAGGCACCTTTCACCCTGAGCATTTGGCAGGAGCAGAGGACAGTTTTGCATTGTTCCTTACTGACGTTCTGCTGATGTCTGTATCCTCCAGTGTATCACATGAAGGAAGACGGCTGGATTCGGGTCGGACGGACGGATGTCAGCGACCTGCTCCACCAGTATTCAGAGGCCAAGAAGTGAGACGGGCAGGTGGCCACAAGCATGGGAGATCTTCTGACACTCAGGGCTGGAGGAGAGAAAAGGGACTGGGACGTCCCCACTGACTTTTCACGGGGCAACAATAAACCACATCTGAGCTAATCTTTCTTTTGGCTCTGATTTGTAATTTAAAAATTGATTGGATGTCTGAAATATAGGAGAATGCACCATTTTCATGGTGAAAAAAAAAGACTGAGATGGTGGTGTTATTAGAAATTCCTGTTTTGAATGTTCAGAGAGAATTTTCAAGGACTTTTCAGAGGGAATTCTGGCAAGGGCTACAAATCTCTCTTTATAGGCTTAATCTTGCGTCACTTTCCCCACTTCATCAGGAAAGATACTCAACTCAGCTTTTTATTCGTGCCAACTCCCCTCATTCCCAACTGCACTAAATAGAGAATTTTCTCCACTGATTCCACCCGTGGGAATTTCCTGGCAAGTTGCTCAAGAGTCACTCCTGACAAATTCAAGCAAGCAAGTTAAACACTGAACTGCAAACTAAAATAATTCATTTTTAAAAACTGAATGCAGGTTTGAAGATGTTGGTAGTCAGAGGATGAGAGGAGAGGATTGGCAAGTGGTCAAAGAATGAGAAGCAGAGAGCAGGATTCTCTCCTTGGGGAGAAGCAAATGGGGTCCCTCAAGGATCACAATTATAAAGATGTGTTTTTTAATTGTGTATAATTTGTTCAACACTTCCTACTCTAGCGGATTCAAGAACTGCTTTCATTGAAGGAGTTGATT